TTCAGAGGGGAAGAGAAGTGGGGCGAGAGGTTAGTGACTCAGAACTGAGAAGGTGGAGGAGCCAGGACTCCTAGTCACCCCACCCTGCCAGAGTCCCCCCAGGTGTCTCTCTTGGGCAGCACACTGGACCCTGAGATCTAGTGCTGCTTATCAGCCCTTAAGGTGAGCTCAGTGCTGAAGGAGTTCACCACTAATACTGCTATTTGCACCTGTGCTGGGGGACTGGCAACCACTTGTGTCTGAAAACTAAGCCCTTCCTTGACACCCTGCTATATGTCTACACACATACAGAACAGCACTGAGCCACGTGCTTCCAGTCCCAGTGCCCTAGACCCACTGCCTCCGTGACATCTCTCCAGAGGCCTTGACGGAGTTACAGCAGGGATGGATTTGGCTCGGTTCTCTCCACCACAGGTTGGCCCATCTCCTGAGATCGGCCTTTCAGAGCCAGGTTTAACGCTCTTCCTGTCAGATCATGACTAAGGGGCCACTGTGGTGCCTGGCTAGTGGCATTTCAGATGCCCATTGGCTTTTGAGTGCAGTTCTTCGCTCCTCCGGCTCCTCCAGGTGTGGTACTTCTTCATGGTCTTCCTCCTGGCAAAACGGCAGATGCTGACCATGAAGATCCAGGAGACGGCATACATGATCACGCCTCCCATTTTAATGAACCATCGGGGCTTGGGAGATGCAAGCTCGCAGTACAGCATCCAGGCCCCCACCCCAATCCGAACGCCCGTGAAGAGGAGCACGAAGATGAAGTCCACCACATCCCCTGTGAAACTGTGGTAGCAGCCCATCTCCCTCAGGAACCAGCGGGCCTGCAAGAGTGGGTTGGTGATCTCGCTGCCAAAGATGACAGCGTTGACCTCGGTGGCCGACTCGCCGAGCGCCAGAGACACGGTGATGCCCAGGATGCTCACCGTGTGATGGGCTAACATGAGGGCACCCTCCGTCTGGAAGTACACACACCAGCCCAGGTCGAAGAGGAAGTAGCCGAGGCTGAGACACAGCACATGGACCTGGAGGGTTGTATTTGGCGACCCTGAAAAGGAAAGACACCCACTGGTGCAGTAAAGCAGGGAGACACCCAGCAGCAGGATCTGAGCAAGGGGTTGGGTCTTTTCCTGACGGGCAAGTGCAAGATGGAGAAGTCATCATAGCCACCACTACTAAGCTAGAGGGCAGAAGGCAGAGACCCTGGCCCATAAACACAATACTGGAGGCAGACAGTGAGGGACAAATTTCCCTTCCGTCTTGGAAAGGGCCTCCCAGCTCTGGGGTCCGTCATATTCAGAGCAGTCAGGACCCCAGCTTGTATGCACTGGTGGGTACTTTGCCAGGTAGCTGACCTGCAGTTCTAGACCCAACTCAATTAAAGCCTCTTCAGCTGGGCTGGGCAAGGACAGACCCTGGGGATATTAGTGGTGTGGAGATTGCCTCCATATAGCATGGAGGTAGCTCTGGGCCATCTCTCCTGGAGTGCAGTGGAGAGGGGTGGCCTGGGGTGGGCAGCCAGCAACCAGGCTGAAAGAGGGTGGGATTCAACAGGAGATGGGCTTCCACCCTATGAAATCCCAAAGGGGCCATAGAGGCAAAGGCAGAGGGTGAAACAGCCCTCCAGGCTGCTCTGGTACCAACAGGAGCACCAAAAGCCAGTCACTGAGCAAAAGCCAGGGGAGAGGTAGAGGTTGGAGGAGGGTATTTCACGTGGAGGAGTCCTACTGCAGAGGGGCTTGGAGCGGAGAAAAGAATGAGGTGATGCGGGAGACATGAGGACAGAAGGCTGGATGTGCCCCCCTGCCCCCGTACCACCTACACTGGCCTAGAGACGAGCTCCAGGAGCACACAGCCACTGTGGGACGAGGGGTCTCGGTGGCCAGAAGACAACTTGCACTTCTACACGTCACCTGGGCCAAATGCTGGTAACATACCTGGGTGTGTCAAAGGCCAGGGGCCATCAATGAAACCAATGTAGGCAGAGAGGCAGGTGGCAAGGAGACCGTGGGTCAGCGTGACTAGGCGACAGCTCCACTCGTAACTACGGCGCTTGTACCGGTGACTGAACCAGGCATAGAGGGAGAGCCAGGCCACCAGGCTGCCGGCCACGTGCAGGGGCATGGAGGAGATCATCCTGCTGCAGGACGAGGAGAGAGGGAAGCATATTAGATGAGGTAGCCCAGTGCAGAGGGAATCAGCTCCATCGCAACATAGCCAGTTCCCACTAAATTACATCAACTTCCTGCCTGTACACAACTCTATTTTCTAACCCAGCAGATTACAACAGCCAATCACCCCAAAGGCATCCCCTGCCATTAGACTGAGGCACGCATCAAAATCCTATTAGTGTCACCTTCCCTCCTCCCTGCCTACATTGGAGCCATGCTGTTTACACATCAGTCCAAACGCTGGGTTAAAGTACACATCCTAACGACTGTGCAGCCCTTTGCCTCAGTTTCCAGTTGTAGGATCCACCACGGATCCTGCGGAGACAAGCCAGCCCACCACATGGGATGCGTATGAGTGATGTGGTGAAGAGTACAGTGAGGGATGGTCACCTGGAAAGCTAAGTCCTAGCCCTGTTGCCTCTTTCAAGAGCAGGAATGAACTATTCTGCATGCAACAAAGTCGGGAACATTAAGCAAACATCCCGATGCCTCTGCAGAGCCTGTGATGCCTATCGCCAGGGGATGTCAAGTCCTTGCCTGTGCCTGTCATCTTCTTCCAGCCTGACCATTGCACCCTTTATTCCCCAGGGCCTCCTCCATGCTTCTCCATCTGGGCTCCAGCCCCTGCCCTCCCTTCTCACAGAGAAAAAGGCTCATAGAAACATGGAGCTAGAAGGGACCATAGGAAGTTGTCTTGTCCCAACCCCCTGCTCAAGGCAGGATCATCTCCGTCTAAACCACCCCACACAAATGCTTACCGGAGCGTATTGCCACATCTCTGGCAACTGGCTCTTTCTTCATGCCAGGGCCCCAATCCAAAACAGCTTCTTATCTTCTGAAAATCTACCACCTCACATCAATCCTCTCTGCTCCCCACCTCAGCTGGTTCAAGCAGTGCTGGATCTTCCATCTCCTCCACAACAGCCTTCTCCACCGTCCCTACCAGCTGCA